AATTAATTTACATGTGAACTAAGGTACATTAGAAAAAATAAAGTAGTATATTATGGTTTAACAGTATTTCATAATATACAAAATATGTTTACACACACTTTCTTATTCCAGTGTCACAGAAATCCTGTCAGGCAAGGTGAATATATATTCACTTCTTCCTTTTATAGAAAAGAAAGCTCAGAAAGGTTAAGGAATCTTACTACAGTTACACAGCACAGACAAAGCTCAAGTCAGGTCCTCTGATTCTAAGTCTTTTACTTTTCTCAGTGTATTTGATGAGTAAAGATTGGAATTGACATTGAACTTATATATTTAAAGACAGAAGTGTACCTGATGATGAAACCAGAAAAAGCTTCTATGATGCTGTCAATATGCCTCAATTGATAGCCCATTTTAGTGTTTAACTATAAAATGGAAAATATATTGGACACTACTATAAAATGGATTACTATTTAGTCACAATGATAGACAATATTTAGTCAACCATATATTTTGTGGGTTGAAAATGTAACAAAACAGGATTTTATTGATAGTGTCGTTCAACTAAGCAGAACTAACTCAATAAGCTATGCAGAGAAGATAAATATATGTTGTGCATTAGTCTAGTGAAAGGGCTTAACAAATGTGCAATTTCAGAAACATCAAAGTAAAGGCAATTATCTTATACAACAGCAAAACATATTTAAAAAGGAGAAAGTCATTATATGTAGCTATCAATTCTCTATATATTTGACATATAAGAGAGATTCTTTAAACAAAATTATGATATAGTTGGTTCAAAGCACATGCTATTATAAAGTAAAATAACCAGATTACTCAGGGGTGAAAAGGAAGTCCAATTCCTCAATTCAGCAGATACTGACTGAACACTTACTATATTCTTTTAACTAGACAGCTAAAATCAAACATGAAGGAAAGTGATGTTTTTAAATAAGCAAATAAATAAATAAGTAAATAAACAGGAACGTCAGCCAATGTTAACTTAGGGATCAGAAAATTCTGGTATTTCCATCATTATTCAAGGGCAGATAACAGAGTTCACCCTCCTAATTTGCCCCAGAAGGCAGATTCTTCTGCCCTGCAGAACTATAAATGAAGAAAAAGAAAAAATAATCCTTGAGTTTATAGAGCATTTAAACAACTCAAATGCCTTCAGAATTATCAGTATATTTATCTACTAATTCAGCATTTCCCAAAGTATGATCCATTGCATGGCAGCCTCTTCAGGGGGTTAGGATATTTCCAAAGACACTGCATACCATGCTATGTGTCCTCTCTTGGGCATTTGATATTAAAAGTTTAGAAAATTACTACAGTCAATACAACTGTTTTGCCTTAACCCAGCACGTCCCAAATTTTAAAATTCATTTCCCCTTAAAACACTTCAAGGGCACCAATTTTTTTTTCCCTCCTACCTCACTGGTCTCTCCTTCTTAGTCACTTACCGATTCCTTCTCCCCTAGACCACTAACTTGGAGTACCCCAGAGTTCAGTCTTTGTTTCTCTCTTCTTCTCTATCTATCCTCTCTCATTTGGTGACTTCCTACAGTCAAATGATTTTAAATACCATCCGATGCCTACAATTCTCAAATTTATCTCTCCAGTTCAAATCAGGCTCCCAAACTGCAGTCCCAAACACTTGCTTTTATGGAAAGACAAAGTGAAGTCTTGTTTGAGGAAGTCATCAAAATTGCTCCATGTGTAGTCTGTTCACGCACCTGAAACAAATTCCATTCTTGACTGCACCTTCTGAAAACCTGAAAGGCATCCTTGACTCTTCTATTTTATTCTCCACATTTAACTCACAGGAAATCTCATGGGCTCAACCTTCAAAATATATCCAGAAGCTAAAAAGTTCTTGCTACTTCTGTGTTATCATCCTTGCTCAAACCATCATTTTCTATCACCTGGGTTAGCATTCTTCCATTTTGCTCCTCTTAGTATATTCTCAACACAATTATCGTGATCCATTTAAGTCCAAAGTCAGAACATGTCATTCCTCTGTTATACCCCCCCAACCCAATGCCTCCCCATTTCACACAGAGAAAAGCTATAATCCCTAACTATGGTCTGCAAGGCCCTGAGACCTGTTCTCCATTACTTCTCTAATCTCATTCCCTATATTCTCATCTTCCCCTCCACTCAGACCTCCTTACTGTACCTTGAACAGTCCAAGCATGCTCCTGTCTTATAGTCTTTGCAACAAATGTACCCTCTGACTGGAATGTTATTTGCCCAGAAATTAAGTAGCTTGCTGGCTCTGTGTCAAGTCTTTGTTCACATGTCCCATTCTCAATGATGCTTATCCTGACTAGCATTTAAAACTGTATCCCAAGTTCTGAGACTCTAGATGCCCCCAATCCTCTACCCTGCTCTGTTTCTACTCCTTGGCATTTATTATCTTCCATTATAAATACGTAGTTTATTTATTTACTAACTGCCACTCACTACAGAATGTAATCTCTGAGAGATATTTTTTATTAGTTTTATTTTCACTGAATTATCCACAACATCTAGAAATTTGCTTGACACTTAGTAGGTGCTCAAAAAACACTGTTTGAATAAATAAATGAAACATATTGTGTGATACTTAATATTTATCATCTTCTCCTTTGTATTCCGGCCAAAATTAGACATGGTGAAAAAAGGCAGCATTAGAAGTGTGACTTGCCCTGAAGGAGAGATTATATTACCTGCTGCCACAATTTTTTAAAGATTTCTATAAATTAGTAGATTGGCTTTAATTTTCATCAAGTTATAGTGCCAAAATAAACATTCCTGCATCTATTAACCTGACTATACTACAGCTCTCCCCCTGAGCGCACATCTGAATCACCCTGGAATCCTTCTAAGGATCCCCAGCGCAGGGCCCATTTCTTTCCAGTGGTGCAGTCCCAGGCATTCTCCCACGGAAGCGTCCACCACCGCAGAGTCAGTGCTCCGCGACTGCCATCAAGTAGGGACACGTGCAATAGTTCGTTGTCTCTCTCACTCTTACCAATATTTAGGCAGGTTTTCACTATTTTCCATGATGTCGAAGTTTAATTTTTAGTTCTTTCAATTCTTCCAATATTTAACTAAATTTCTCTTGTTGAAATTTCACACCAATTATAAAGACATTTATAAGGATGAAATACCAATAGGACTGCTTATGTTAATGTCAGCCTTTCTTAAAATATTATTCATAAAATAATGCTTAATTATGCAAAAAGTTCACTTATATAGGTAGGAGTATTATTAAGTTTTAAGAACTATATGTTACTTCTACTGTTTTATAAAATACTCTGTAAAATCACATTAATTGGCATCAATTTGGGGAATGACTGATTTATAAAATGTTACTTTATTACTTTAAACTGCATATATTATGCTATTTCTTTGTAATTTCCTTAAAGAATTATTAAAGTCATTGCTTCAATGAATAGCTGGTATATTTATAATTAGCATTTCAACTACTTAAAACAAATTGGGTAAAGTGAAATACATGACATTACTTCATAAAAATTTACAAGGTATTATCATTATTGAATAAATGGCTACAAGAGAAAATTTGAAAGTGCCCAGAAGTATATACAGTTTAAACTGTATTATACATTCTCTATGAACATTATTTATTCATTTGTCTAAAAAGCTTCTCTTCAATGATTATGAAAGATTAAAAAGAGTCGAAATGATCATAAATTCTTAATAAATAAGAATTAATGAACTAGTAGTATATTTTAAAAATCAAAGTCAAGTTTTTAGCTGTAGTTAACAAATGGGAATATGCTACATCTAGTGACTTGATAACTATCTTTTTTCAATCATAATAATAATGCCAACAGGGAGTCATATGCACACAGAATTATTTAAAATAAAGTAGATGGCCAGTTTTCACATATCTGCCACTAAATCAAGCTATGAATTAACCAATTTGATACCCACATGGAGACAAGGAGATATTATAAACCACACTCAGAGAACAAAACATTCACTAGCTAAGGTTTTCAAAAACCAGATAAAAGAAAAAGCTTCAGAAGCTCCTCTGAAAGAATGCAGATGCCAGACAGTTATAAAGAATCATAAAGCAAGAAAGTGAATCTGGTAGGGTCCTTTTTATCTGATAGGACAGTAAAAGTGAACAAAGAATTATAACTCATAATTCACAATATAATGTGGAGATCAGTATGGCTCAATTAAAAACAAAAATAGCAAAAAACATAATATTTTAAATATTTCATATTCATTTCCCACATTTTATCACATTTTCAAATGCAGCCTGTTTTTCTTGAGATATTTGAATCTGTTTAACACTCAAGCTATACTATTCAGAACCACATAAACTAAAAATTACTAAAATATTAACTATAGCATCATTATCTATGATGGTTCTTTATACGGACTGCATGTAGCTACCCACAGAAAAAGCCAACTTTTCAACTTTTGCACTATTGACATTGTGGATTAATTTTTTGATGGGAGTGTGAAGGGAGGGGCTGTCCTGTGCATTGTAGGATGTTTAACAGCATCACCGGACTCTACCCACTAGATAGCAATAGCAATTACTGTGAAACTCAAATTCAACACATACACGTGTGTGTGTACATACATATTTACACATAGATGTGTGTGTGTGTGCATGTCAGATAAATCAGATTCTACTGTTCTTAAGAAGAAAAAAGTAATAAATAGCTTTCTCCTTATCTCTTACTTCTATCTTAAGAATAACACCCTACCTTCCTGCTATCTCCCAGGAACAAAAACAACTGCAGTCTTTGTTTTCAGTTTTGAAGGCAAAAGAAGAACTTTTTCCTCTGACTCTACAGGTGGTTCCTGAAAGTGCTCTCCAGGTGACCTGAAGGTGACTGGCAAGTCTATTTTGCATTTACAAACAAGTTTAATAGGAGCTGCATATTAACAAGAGTAATAATTTGTTATAGAAACCAGAATCAACTTTTGTATTCACTTATTACCTATATACTGCTCTTTCAGGTTTCTTGTTTGATTACCCTTTGGCTTACCATAGATGTAACTGATCGTGCATCTTCTTCATAATTTATTACCGGAGGTGGCTCTTTCCCATCATTTTCTTGTACTTTTTGCTCTAGTAATTCTTTCTGTGCTGTAAACTTTGCCTCAGTGCACCTCAGCTGCTGCACTGACTGTTTCAGCTCTTCAAGTGTCTGTTTTTGGCTTATCAGCAGCACAATACTAAAAAAGAACACATTAAATATGAATTATTTTGACTTCTGTTTTCATCTGTATGAGTCCTGCAGAATCAAAAGAATTAGGGAACTAAACAGATTTTGAGACATAACAGTAGTTATTAAATGCTAGCAATAACAAAATGGAAGAAAATGTTTGGAAGCAAAAACCAAATTCAAGACGCTTTCAAATATATTGCGATCTATGGCATTCATTTTATTTTACAGCTAAACCATCTACCTCACAGAGTACAGACACTTAAGTCCAGAAGCATAGGGCCTAAAATGAATTATCATGACTGAAGCAGAATCTTAAATTTACTTCATATTTCAAATGGAATGTAGCTAGAGTCAAATCTGTGCCTAGAGTAAAATAAATCAAATCAAGGTGACAGCCTGGGAACAAGTTGTTTGTATATTGTGAGTGGTGTGTGTTTAGAATTGGGGAAAGCTGTTCTAACGAAGACTACGGGCTGAGATGTGATTAAAGAAATGAGCATAAGTCCCCAAATCTTTTCAGTGTCATCACTATAAAAACAACAGACTTCCCAATCCCTCCTTTAGAGAACTATATAGGCCACTTGTTGCCTTATTGTGATTTTTTACCCCTTGGAGGCTCCTCCTAGTGGAAACTGCAAACTAACTCATCCACATTTAAGCCACACACCAAAAAACCCAGGTAGTGGTGGTGGGGAACACCTCTGGAAACACTGTCATACATAGTATACTGATATCTTAAAGAACTGTGCCATACACTACTAAAGTAACTTATTTATATGTACGAAAGAACAGATTGTCAATAGAGGAAGCTTCGAAGTTGGAGAATAAGCTCAGAATGTTACCTTCTTAAAGTGAAACTTAAAAGGATGGACATAAACTGAGTAAGTAATTGTGGACAGAAGGAACCCACACTAAGAGAGATTTATTTATATATAAGGTGCTGGTTGATATTTGAAACTCAATTCCAGTCAAACTGAGTAGGATGCAGCCTGAGTGGACGCTATAAAGAAAGCTGAAATCTCCTCAAATTATATTGCAATGAGTTTCAGGAGAGTATCCTAAAAAAAAAAGGCAGAGAACTGAGTGAAATGTTGGAAAGAACTAATGATTAAGTTTATTTGTAAGAAAGACTTAGCAATGTTCAAAAGACAAATCACTCTAAAACAGTGAAGTTAATAACAGAAGTAATGGAGAGGGATATACCATACTGTCAGCTCACAAACACTTCCCAAGTAAAATCATCAATGGCATATAAAAAAAATGTAATTTATACTGAATTAAAACACATTCAACTTTATGACTTAATCCCTTTGCTTTTCTCATCTTCAGTTTTATCACTGGATAAATTGATGAAAATAATATTCCTATTGTCAGAATTGTTCTGAGAATTCAATAAGATATTTTTTAAATTATTAGCAAAGTACCTACCATAAAATAAAAATTCAGAAAATGGCAATTATTACTTATATCATTTAACAATCCGTGACATGTGTTCTAAATTCACACAAATTTCTGAAAAATTCATGCTGGTTTGCTTATTAGGTGGTAGCTCCCTTTTCATAATAAATTGTTTATAATTTTTTTATTTCTCAGTGAATCTCTTCAGAAAAAGTTTATTTTTAAAACATTCACTTTTGTGAACATAAATTCATAAGGACCAGGTCCTGGAAAAGGTTACATCCATATGAACCTAAAATTTCCTGAGAGTTCCTTCTTTGCATTTCCTAGCACCACAAGAATCACAACAATAACGACAGTCTAAGGATCAATTTAAATGTACAAAGTAAGACGGTAAAAAGATATTTTCATGTACATCTATCAAGAGAATGAGAAGAGAAGCCATAGGAGGAAAAAGATTTGCACAAGACACATCTAATAAAGGACTGTTACCTAAAATATACAAAGAACTCTTACATGTCAACAGTAAGAAAACAATGGACTAAAAAAGTGGGCCAAAGACCCTAACAGACACCTAAACAAAAAGATATACAGGTGGGAAATAAGCACATGAAAAGATGCTGCATATCATATGTCATCAGGGAAATGCAAATTGAAGCAACACTGAGATGCCATTTCACACTTATGAGAATGACCACTCCCTAGAACACTGACACCAAATGCTGGTGAGGATGTGGAGCAGCAGGAGCACCATTCGTTGCTGTGAGAATGCAAGAGGGCACGGCCACTTTGGAAGACAGCTTAGCAGTTTCTGACATAACTAAACATACTGTTGCCGTAGGATCCAGCAATCACACTCCTTGGTATTTACTCAAAGGAGCTGAAAACTCTGAGTAAAAGCCCACACACATGGGTGTTTATAGTAGGTTCATTGATAATACCAAAACTTAGACGCAACCAAGAAGTCTTTTATTAGGTAAATGATAAACTGTAGTATATCTAGACAATGAGATATTATTCAGTCTTCAAAAGAAATGAGCTACCAAGCCACAAAAAGACATGGAGGAACCTTAAATGCATATTACTAAGTGAAAGAAGCCAATCTAAAAAGGCTACATAATGTATGATTCTATATGACATTTTGGAAAAGCCAAAATTATATCAACAGTAAAAAGATCAGTGGTTTCCAGCAGCTGGGGGGCAGGGCGAGGAATAAATATCTGGACGACAGAGGATTTTTAGTGAAAAGTATTCTGTATTACACTGGAATGATGGATAAATGTCATTATACATTTGTTCAAACCCACAGAATAAACACCACTGAGTGATGTAAGCTATGAACTTTGGGTGATAATGATGTTATTGTAGGTTCATCAACTGTATGGCAAACCTAGGAAGTGAAATCATATGCCATGGAACACTGCTCTACAGTTAAAAAGAATGAAAGCACCTGGGTCAATCTCCAGAGAATTATTATGACTGTAAAAAGCTAATCTCAAAAGGTTACATTCAGTGAGATTTCATTTATATAACATTCTTGAAGAGACAAAATTGTAGAAATGGAGAACAGATTAAAGGTTATTAGGGGCTAAGAAGGGGGTGGAAGATGGACAGCAGTGTAGCAACAAAAGACAGCAAGAGGGAATCCTTGTAGTGATGGAAATGTTCCAAGTCATGACTGTATCAAACTCAATATCTGCAATTATAATATTAAATTATACTTTTTCAAAATGCTCCCATTGGGGCAAAGTAAGTATAGGGTATGTGGGACCTCTCTGAATCAAGTCATATACATACATGGCAATATACAATTATCTCAAAGTTTAAAATTTAATTAAAATATATATCACAGTTGCTGTCACCATGCTTCCCCTGGTGAGGCGAGGCTTCTGTCATCTCATATGCCTCGGGTTCCTAAATAATCTGTTCTGGGATAGGCCTTTTTTATTCTCCTCCGGAAGTTCTAAGTATGTATTGTATTGTATTGTATTGTACTGTATCTGAGACACTGTCCTAATACCAAGAATTAGGTTAAAATATAAATTTCCTGGTTTTCAGTTTAGTGCTTTTTAAAAACAATGAGACTTGTAGGGGAAGCATATGCCCTATTGCATAGCTATGGTCTTAATGTTTTTTAATCAACATATCTTATAATAAAATCAATGAGCAATATTAGCTTCTTCCAATTAACCCCATTGAGCTCTATGTATAATGAAAATTTCACATACATTAGCCTCTTGCTTTTGTTCAATAATTAGTTTTTAAAAAGTACTGCTATAATCAATATACAAAATACTATACAATTATTTTATATGCTTATAACACCATTGAGCAAACAGGCTATATGTATATTTTAATTAGAAGAAAATTCTAGTAAATACATGATTAAATAATACAAGATGCATAAGAAGCCATGAATAAATTTAAAATAGGCAAAGGATCAGAACCTTTGCATGTGCTACGTATCGCTATCTCTGACTCCTCTTCACATGTACGGCACCTTCTGTCCTTCAGGTCTCAGCAAAGGTGCCATTTCCTAGGAGACTCCGGACCTCCTATCTTAAGTAGGTGCTCCTCTGTGCTTCTATCTGAACTACCTGTTTCACAGCAATTATCACAATTGTTAATTTCTTGTGTTGTATTGGTCCATTCCACAAAAGTGTAAGCTCCATGAGACATGTGGCCATATACATCTTACTTTCATTGTATTTGCAGCACTGAGTAGACGTGCAATAAATATTGTTAAACGAATTCCCTATTTACATAGCACATTTTTTGGTAATACATGTAATCTAAAAATTCTGAGATGAAATTAATGGTACCCTGAATTTGCATACTAGAACAATATTCTAGATGGTTCAATTCTTGCCTTCACTGCAGGCTAGAAGTGGCATTTTGCAAGTCTCTTAAAACTTCTGGGCCGCAGATGTAAGATAATTTGAAAGATAATGTTGAATCAAATGCTCTCTTAAGATTCTGCATTGATTCTATTCTAAGAATTATGATTTTATAACATATAAAGTATTTTTAAGTACTAGGTGATAGTGGTAGAAAATTATACAAAATTAATCATTCATTTTTCCAAAGTCAAACCAAGCATTAAAGCCAACAGTAATATTCTAGCTCTTTAATGCCATTGAGTCATAAATAACATATGCTTGATATATTTTCCCATAAACTATTTTCTAATACAGTAGTCGAGGATCATAAATCAACCAAAGATTGACGTTATTTCCACTTGAGTAAACATGCTTTAAAAGTAACGAGTATAGGTATGTACACTAGAGTGATGCTTTGTGTTGTATTAAAATCATACCATTTCTAGTGGTTGGCTTTACTCTGTCACCCTATTTTTTTTTAAGATAAAATTCTGCAGTAGCTACATCTCAGCTGAGGGGTGCATTATTTACATAAGCTAAAACTTTGCTCTTGTGTGAACTTAATGTTACATAAAAACCATTCTTTAAGTTAATTTTTCACTTCATACTATTCAATTATAGGAATCAAAACCATCAAATGATTTTGTCACTGCTGTTGTATGTTTTAGACACAATTATGTTAAATCCAAATTTATAGGTTTTAACGTTAGTCCCTTAATATATTATATTTTGATAGAACCAATAATGGTATTTCTGTTAAGCAAAGATTCAGTGTAATTCCACTAATTTAAGAATATAGATATGTAACTTACAGCATATTTTTAGTATTTCTGAGGAAATGTAGTTTTGTTTTATTGTTTTTATTATTTTCAAGTAACATAGCATATGAAGCCAACGTGTTACAGAGTAAAAATAATTCTAAATCAACTTTTAGAACTAAATAAAAATTGATTTTTAATTATTTAAGTGCATTTAAATATATGTATATACACATATACACACACAAAAGAGGACGTTTAAGAAATATTAAATTAAAATTCAAACATTTCCCCAGAATCCCTGAAGACTATTTATTTAGTGAAATAGTTTAACATATTATTCAAAGACAAATTTCAACCCTACTAATATCTAAATTAATGAGATTTCACAATGACTATTTAGTTAAGTAAATATCCTTAACATTTTCAAGATTATTCCCTGAAGCTAACAATAAAACCTCCATGGCAACAAAGGGCTAATAGAACTTGGGTTAAACAAGACTCATCCCCTGAGTTGCTTGACATATTTACCCCTCCTCAAATATTCTCCTAAGAACACTATTAAAATCATAGAATCAAGCAATGCTGTGATCAAAAGAGACAGAAATTTTGGAGTCAGGGACTTGTATGTTTTCTACCACTTATTAGGTATGTGATTCTAAGTTATCTAAATTCTCCTAAAGGTAAATACAAACAGTTAAACAGAAAGCAAAGATAACATTCATTGACTTAATATATATAAAACATCCAATATTATATGTGAAACAGCATAAGAATTCAAGAAATGCTATTTCTGCTGAGCAGGAGTGGCTTAGTGTTTGAGCATCAACCTAGGATTCAGGAGATCACGGTTTGATTCCAGGTCAGGGCACATGCCTGGGTTGCAGGCTCGATCCCCAGTAGGGGGCGTGCAGGAGGCAGCTGATCAAAGACTCTCATCATTAATGTTTCTATCTCTCTCTCTCCCTCTCCTTTCCTCTCTCTGAAATTAATAGACACATTTTTTTAAAAAAAGTAATGCTATTTCCATATATCCACCACTCTAAATTTAAGCCCCTCTCCTCTACTCCCATACTCATCTCCTGATAAATATAAATAGGTGAAGGAACATGGATCACGCTGATTATGTACATAAAGAGAGAATCAAAGTCAAAGATTTGAGTCAAGAAAACATACTCCCAAAAAATCAAAGAAACCCACAACTTCTATATTAAGATAATACTTAAAGATTGCCTCTTCCAACAATATGTAGTCAGACATGCTGGTGAGAGGGTCAGCTATTCTATTCTTTCTTCATATCCACTAAATTTCTGTTCTCACCTTTGAAAGGCTCAGTGACTCCAATATGGCATTTAATACCAAGCTGTAATAAAAGCCACAGTATAAGTGACAGGGGCAGGCTCCTAACATTCTGAGTTGTATAACAGGATAGATGGTATTGCCATTCACTGAAATAAGGAATACTAAAAGAGTGAACTAGGTTGGATTGGACTGGGTTGGACTGAGATTTTTAATTCAGCCTCGGACACAGAAAATTTAGTGTACTCCTAAGACACCCACGGAGGCATGTTAAGTAGGCAAATGATTATAGAGCCAGACAGTTCAGAGGAGAAATCCAAGAGTAATAAATGTGGGTCACCTTTATTTTATTTTATTTTTTTAAATATATTTTTATTGATTTCAGAGAGAGGAAAAGAGAGGGAGAGAGAGAGACAGAAACATCAATGATGAGAGAAAGTCATTGATCGGCTACCTCCTGCACACCCCCGCTGAGGATCAAGCCCAGAACCCAGGCATGTGCCCTGACCAGGAATCAAACCGCAATCTCCTGGATCCTAGGTCCATGCTCAACCGCTGAGTCATGCCAGCGGGGCTGGGTCACCTTTAGGAGATCACCTAGGGACAGAGTTCTGGGAAGGAAGTAACATAGCCTATGGCCATGCCTTTCATAACTCCAAAATACATTGGCTGAGTGGAGAAAAATAAGTTTATAAAGAAAGAGTGGCCAGAAAGAGAGGAGTAAGATCTGGCATAGTGGGTCCCAAAGGCCAAGTGAAAAGGAGAAACATAAAGTCAACAAAGTCAGACATTGTGAGGAGGTCAAGTAGGACAGTTGCTAAATTTAGTAATGAAGAGACCACTGGTGACCTTACAGATGCTTATTTCAATAGTGATGGAGCAAAAGCCAGGTATATATGGGTTGAGAAGTAAGTGGAAGTTGAGAAAATGCTCGTGCATAATCACTCTTAGAACAAGTTTGACAAAGAAAACAGAAAGCAAGGAAATATGAAAATTTTAAAAAGTTATCTGGGGTGAACAAAGAGGTGAATATTATTTTTAGGATCAAGACTTAAGCATATTTAAAAAGTGATGCAGGTCCCAGCTGAGAAGGTGAACATAATATATAAAATAATGCAAATTTTCTGGAAAAGTAAGAGATGATGGGATACAAAAAACAGGCATGAGAAACAGATTTAGAGCAAGGAACAGTTCTTCTATGGAAGTAAAGAAAGAGAATGGGTACAAAATGTGTTGGATTTGGATAGCTAGTCCCAGGAAATAAGAGCCACCCCATGACTCTAACTCTTTCTGTAATGTAGGAGAGATATTCTTTTATGTCAATGGGAGAAATAAGGAGATCAGAGATTTGAGAAAAGTGAAGAATACTTGAAAAGTTGTGTGGAAAGAAAGAGCAAGTATAGAGCAGAGAGAAATCCTATACTTCACAACTTTCTTGAATATGTAAGATTATAACAGAAAGTCTCTATAATCCAGTGACATTAAATAAACTATTCCAGTAATCCCTGTTGGAGATGCAAATGATGACCAAAGTCAGGTTAGAAATTTTAAATTTCATCAAAATTTACTTCTTGAAATAGTAGAAAACATAATTAACACAATTAGTAAAAGCAAAAGTATACCAAGACAAGTAAAGTCAGCGGTTTTGGGAAGACATTTACAGATCCAGAAATCAGCGAGAAAAACAATAGTGAGGCAAAAACAGCACAGCAAATGTCAACATGATTTTTATAGGAGAAGCAGACTGCTATTTTCTAATGTTTATATGCTTCCTTTTAACACAGTAGAAGCCAATTTCTACATAAAACTGGCCTGGCACTTGCTTAACAAGGAATTCAGAGTGAATCCTTAGTGGACAGTAATGAGGGGAAGTAAAGACAGCTTTTAACAGGATTTTTCAGAAAATAGTTCAAACGTAAAACATTAAGACATATAATCAGTACTGACAAAAACATAATTATTTTTCTAGAGTCCTAGAAAGTATCTAAGTTTTATACTTAACATGAAATTTCAGCTTCTAGAAATTTTAAATTCATAATACACGTAACTGAAGTATGTTTGTAAAATTACATCAATTACACTTTCTTCCATTTTTGTTTTACTCACTCAGACTTCTTTTCATGGGTCTTAGAAGATTCCTCGATTCTTTTCTCTAGCTCCAGGACAGCCTCCTCCTTATTTAAGAGCATTTGCTGTGTCTGCACAAGTTCCTCTGCTAAAGTTTTCAACCTAGAATGAACAGTTTCCTCATTATCAACCCATACATTAATTGCATTCACTTTACACACACACACACAAATGTATTTATACTTCTAAGGTTGTGATGTCCGAAACAGTAGTCATTGTAATTTAACTTAAAGTAAAATTTCAGCTCCTCAGTTGCATTAGCTGCAATTCAAGGGCTCATACAGACACACGTGGCTAGTGGCTACCTTACTGGATGGTGCAGAACATTTTAATAATCACAGTAAGTATTCCTGGGCAGTGCTTTTCTAGAGTCTTACTCATCAAATGGAAAAAGAGAAACAGAAACAACAATCAGAGAAAGAAGAAAGGACTAAATTAAACAAATTCCTCTCATGGTCCAGAAAGAGCAGATAGTGAAAAGAGTATGGTTTTTGTTTTTAAACATGTGTTTACATTCTGGTTTTGCCACTACTTATCTGAGATCCTGGGCCAGTTACCTGGCTCATATTCTCATTTGAGTAAAGTAATATCTGCTTCAAAGCACTGTTTTGAGGATCAAATGAACCAATGCAAATATAACTGGTACTTAGTAGGCACTGAGTAAATGGTTCCCAGAATTATTTGCATGATATATCTATCATAATCTATAATATAGATCCCAATACCCTTATTTTAAATTAAAGAAAGTGAGGCTCCATTGTATGACAATTTAAATTGATAGTAAGCTATTTGCACATATTGTAATAATGCTTTAGAGGTGTTTTCTATACAGATTTGAAGAAAATTAAATAAACAAAATTAATATGAACTCAAAAACCAGATAATTTATTGTCATATAAAATGCATTTGGTCCTGAATAGAAAAATTCTACCACAAAAGACACACAATTATCAAAGCACAGTAAAATTTTTATCTTTAGCCTTCTAAAGCAATACATGAAACCCAAAATATAAAAAGTAAAATAAAATAATCCAAGTCTATTAAAATTTTAGATTATTTAAAGTTAAAGTGATGGTAAATAAAGTCAAAAGCAAAAGTCAACCTGTAAAAAAAAAACTAGCAATGCAAATTATAAGCAAAAGCCCTCTTAATGCAGAAAAACTCTTAGAAAAAAAGATAACCTAATATGAAAACAAAGAACACAATTGGAATTTCATCAAGAAAAAAAATCAACTAATCAATAAGCACATGGAAATATTTACAAGCTGACCCACAATTAAATATCTGCAGATTAAATAAACAGTAAATTATTTTTCACCTAGTAAAATTGACAAGTATGAAAAAGAGTGATAATATCCAGTGTTCTCATATTGAAAAAAAAACAAAAAAAAAAAAAAAACACACATATACACTGTTGATGTGACAAAATTGGCAAAAATTTTTCATAGGTCAATGTGGAATTGTCTCTCAAACCTCAAATTAGAATGTTCTGTGACCATCTAAAATTATGTTTTTCAAAAATAATTTACAATGTGCACAAAACTTGATATGGAGATGTTTGTTGCAACATTGTTTGTAAAACAAAACATCAACAAGGGAATGGCGGAATGAATTTTAATCCATTTAAGAGACAGAATAGCATGTAGACACTTAAAAATGAGATGCACACTTGTAAATTCTTCTAAGGCATATCTTTAAATTAACCGGCATGATGCAGAATACATATAGCACAGTTCCAGTTATATTAAAATAAATGTATGTGTATATGTGCTATGAACTGAAATGTATCCCCTTAAAATTCTTATGTTGAAGCCCTAATTGCCAATGTGATAGTATTTTTTTTTTTTATAATATATCTTTATTGATTTCAGAGAGAGGAAAGGAGAGGGAGGGAGAGAGAGAGAGAAACATCAATGAAGAGAGAGTCATTGATCGAGCCCACAACCCGGGCATGTGCCCTGACCGGGAATCGAACCCTGATCGCCTGGCTCCTAGGTCGAGGCTCAACCGCTGAGCCACGCCCGGCCCAGCAATGTGATAGTATTTTTAGATGGGGCCTTTGGGAAGCAATTAGGGTCAGATGATACCCTGAAAGCGGAGCCCTCATGATGAGATTAGTGCCTGTTAAGAAGAGATACTGAAGAGTCTGCTCACGCTCTCTCCCTCCACACACAGAGAAGTCAGGAGAGCACACAAGAAGGCAGCGGTCTGCCAGCCGGGGAGGGAGTCTAAGCAGGAACCAAACCCGCCAGCACATTGATCTAGAACTTCTAACCTCCAGACCTGGGAGAAATAAATTGTGGTTGTTTAATGCACCAGTTCATGATATTTTGTTATGGCAGGCAGAGCAGACTAATATAATATGTATATAGTTATGTGTGTGTTTGTGTGTAAAAGCACAGAAAAACCAGATTACTACCAATGAAACTCATCAACATTCTGAGGGCTGTGGGATTGGAATAGGTGGTGATCTAAGACCAAAAAAAGCATTTTATAGTTCATTCTATATTTATTTATACTATTTGAATCTCATAACAAAAATTAATTTAACTCTTACATTATTAACTAATAGGTAATAGAGATGGAAGAGGCAGAAAAACTCAAAATACAGCAATCCAGATGATTTTCACCTTTGTTTAGAGTTAAGCAACATAATAAATCTAAATGGGTTGGTGAGGGCATTACTATATTACAGCAAAACATAATCAGTGATGCTTGTAATGATCTAGAATCATATGAAAAAGGCTAAATTAAGGTCAGTATTTTTCTTTAAGAATATATATATATATTTAAAAGATTTACATCAAATCCAGTAAAATTATGTTTTTGAATTGGATGACAAGATGAACTTTGGTTATCTGGAAAATTCACTTAGGCAGAATAACTCATATCCTGACTAGATAAAGAAAGCATTACTGTATTAAAATCAGAGATCATTCTCAAGAAATTACATTTCAATTTGTTTCAAGTTACTTATAAATAATTATAAACAAATAAATAACACAGAATGCTTTGCTATTTATAAAATTCTGCCTTATATATGATCACATTTAGACCTCACAAAAGTCAGCAACACGGGACCCTACCTCAGAACCTGTCCCGACCACCTTCTGTCACCCCAGTCCAGAAGTAACAGTAAAAACCAACCCCTCGCCACTGTCTTGGCCATGTTACATCAAAGCTGAATTTGATTAGGAAGCTTTTCTTCTCTTCATCACTTTCCTCTTCTCTATCTTTTACCTCCCTCCCCTACATCTTTTTCTTACTCTGTCTCTCTTCCTGATTAATTTTCTGCTCACCCTTCTTCTCAATTCTTCATTCATTCATTTAAACAAGTGTTTACTATACAAGACACTAGGGGTAAAATAAACAAACCTGGATTCAGAAAATGTGCATTCTAGTAGAAGGGACATCAACTGTTTTCCCCCCCCACCCTCTCTTTCCTTTTTTCCTCTCTTTGACAATTACTGTTTGCTTTCCCTAGTTTCTTCTCAATTCTTCTCACTGTACATACCCTCCAACCCATCCTGCAATAAATACACAGTCACACCAAACTGTAAGAGGCAGGCACCATGGCTTACTCCTCACAGTATATTCCTTACACTTAGCACAGTGTCTTGCACATAACAAGTGCTCAACTCCACTCAGTTCTGTCCTGCTTTTCTTGCTAGAAGACCAACATTCAACTTTTTCCATAATTCTCTAATAAGTATGAAGGCTCTCCTGATTCCTATCACTCTGAATTATCTAGAAAGTAAAGAGCTATGTTAATGTGGAAACAGCATAATTTACAACTTTTACCCACCAACTAATTCTGGAGCTAAACATACATGAGCCACTACTGCAGTGGTGCAGTGAGGAAAGCTTTAGTCCTCTGTATAGGAGTCATTGGTGCAGGGCTGGCTCCGTTCATACAAAATTACGTCATCAAGCTCGCTTTACCTCGCCACATCAGAATAAGAGAAGCATCTGGGCTTACAGCTCTACATCTCTACCACATCTTGTAAAGCACCTCATTCTGGTGTACAAGACACCAGCTCTGGAACCAGACACCCCCAGGTTTAACATTTACTTAGCTTTTCTAAACTTCCATTTCCTACTCTAATAAAATGAAAATTTAACACCTAACTTAAAGGGTTCCTATGACTATAATGCATATTTTTTAAGTTCCTAGTACAGATTTTGAAGCATAGCATATTTCCTATAAATGTAACTTTATATTATTAACTAATTTTATTAGTCCTGTGAGAAATATTTTTCTGAAAAGTAATTTTAAGTTTTGTCTTTTTTTTTAATTTATTGATTTTAGAGAGAGAGAAAAAACAGAGAGAGGGTAAGAGAAACATCGATTTTTTTGTTCCACTTCTTTATGCATTCATTGGTTGATTCTTGTATGTGCCCTGACTGGGGATCGAACCCACAACCTTGGCATATTCTAACCTTGACGACATTCTAACCAACTGAGCTACGTGTCCAAGGCTGTCTTCTTTTTTTTTAAAAGAATATTTTGTTAACATTGGATGCAAAAAATGTTGCTCCCAAAGCAGAGGTAGGATTGAATATATTTTAAGTGAAATTCAAGACAGGTTATATTTTTATTATTTATACATTACTCTCAATTAAGGACAAGTAAAATAAAGGAACATTGCAAGCATGCTACATTAAAAATAGAGGAGCCACTAACAATTAAAAGTTGTTTGTCCCTTCACAACAATTATTTCCAAGAACTTTAAATCTTTGGCAATGTGAAAATTTTTCAGTCCCATGAGAAATTAACATACGCTTGTATTTCTTTGTTATCCCTGATGCAAGTAAAGGAGTAAGCATGTCTATAGTCACAAACATAAACACACACACGTGTTGATTTGATGTGAAATAACAGTAGTAATATCACCACAAATCTAAAAGAAAGCAAAAGAAATGTTATTATTGATTTCTTCATAATAATTATTTGGAAAAATTCAAGGGAAGGTGTTTGATTGTGGTGAACATCGCTGTTGCCCTAGTTAACTTTTGGGCTGCCCTTTTTCCTTGCTATTTTTACTCGGACAGCAGGCTAGGGAGGGAGGAATGAGATGACAGCCAGAGTCCTAACCCAAGCT